CAGAAGTGGACCAGAAGTGCTTCTGGTCTACTTCCAGGTCTGCTGCCAAAAGTGCTGAGGACCACCTGCTCACCCCATGCTTCTGTGGGACACTCCATGCGCCCCAGCATTGCAGCATTTATGAGCCACCTGGTGCCTAGAGCTATGTAGAAAAAACAATTAAAGCTGTGACTGTCCAAATTGCTGACTCTTTCCAAATCTCTCTGAATCAATGTGGAGGGTCCCGATTCAATTCAGAGAGATTAAAGGGTCCTTTGATTCAATTTGGATTCGGAGACTTGGCCACTGAATCGGGCTGAATCTCTGCTGAATCGAATCGACCGAAGCATTGCACAGCCCTATCACCCATGCAGCATGTGGCCCCTCATTGCTCTCAAACTGGACAGAGACTCCACAGATTCTCTAGGTAATCTGTTTCAGCGCAGGCTGTGACATGATATCATTTTCAGTTATATTAAGGCAGTGGTTCTCAACCTTTGGCACCTTACATACCCCCTGCTGATCAACGCAGCAAAAGCAAAACCAGAAGTCCCACCGTGGCTCTGCCAGTTTTGCTGCTGCAAGCCAAGTCCCACTTTTTCCACCACGGCCCAGGGCAAAGCAGCCAGCGCAGGGCCTCCCTCCCTATGCCCTGGCACACTGACACTGGGGAGCAAAAGCCCTGGCGCACTGGACACAGTGGGGGTGGGAGGCAGGGGCTGGAACTTCCAGCCCAAGTAGGCAAAACCAAAAAGCAGCACCCACGTACCCCCTGCCCGGGTCTCGCATACCCCCAGGGGTACATGTACCTTGGGTTGAGAAACACTGCATCAAGGGCCTGGGGGACAGCAAAGTAAGATTTGCACTTCAGTTGCATGCATCAGCTGTTACCTGTTACATCTGCATGTTTCTGTAGGATACAAAGGAGCCAGACAGCTGTAACTTTAACCTGGAATGGAATATCATAATGGTTTTGCTACATGTGTATTGCTTTGGGAGCATGTAGACATTTATATTGTGACAGCTTATATCAGTATCATTGAATACTAAAGTATTTGGCACATCTTCCTACTGCCTATCCTCAGTCTCCTCTAGACTATGCAATCCACATTCTTGCAGCTTTCCTCCTATGGTATATTTCTGGGAGCTCTCAAAAGGCTGTCAGTCTTATAACAGTCCCTCAAAGGGGGAAAGGAATTAATTATTACCCTTATCCACAGAGGAGGGAACTGAGATACAGAAAGGTGACATACATCCTTGCCCTGTATCCCAAGGGAATCCATATGATGTTATAAAGGTTCATAAAAAACGTCCATCAGCCTGGCCTCTGAGGCAAAGCCAGGACTGGAACTCCTGGGCTCACAATTCTGTGCAATCCTTTTACCACTGACTAGAACTGGAAAAGCTGGCCTAGGAAAGTAAGGGATAATAGAGTTACCTTCCCTTTGCATCCCACCTTTTCCCCCTGGGGCTCCAAAGACTCTTCCTACCACCTATTCAAAAGGATCACTGAATGTATCATAGGTAGGGCTGGATGAATCCTTATCAGCATGCAATTTATACACTGAAGGACGCAGCATCTGTTGACCTGAAATTATTTGTGAATGCAACCTGAATAGTTCCAGATTGGCCAAGAAATCGTGAGACTAAATTATCATTCACAAAGCTAACAAGAAGGTGGTGGGACCTCACCCTGATCCCTCCCAAAGCTGTACAGCCTAAAGTTTAAGTCACTTTCCTGGGAGGCTAGAGACATTAGTTCAAACCCCTGCCTTGAATCAGGCAGAGAGGGAATTTTTATGTGGGTCACCTAATAAATTTCTGCCTCTGGTAACTCTGGCCCTTGACTTTTAACAAAAATGCCTGGCAATAAATCAAAACATGCTGTTTCAAGTCAAATGAAACACTTCATTCAACCCCTAATTTCTTGAAAACTCAAAAAAAAATCTTAGTTTTGGGATACCCAATACTATTTTTTTAAGGAAGGGAGGGGTATTGTTGTTATATTTTAGTTCAAGCAGTAAACAAACAAACAAATCATTCTTACAGCAATAATCACAAGCAGAATTGTAAATAGCAAAATGTTCATTCCCTTCTTTGTACCTCCCTGACTGGACAACAACAATAATGCCCATAACAATTACAGCTATTACTTGTATGTCTTATGGTAGTGACTCTGAGTCAACTAAAGATGTAGCCTGTCATGCTAGGAACTGTGCAAATTCAGAAGAGTTTGCTGAAGAGTTTACAGTCTAAATACACAAAATAAACACATTTCTAGGGAATGGACTAAAACATACCAGACAATGTTTATGGCTATTTTGCAACCAATATGACACTCCTGGGACCTAATTCAAAATCACTGAAGTTAACAAGGATGTTTTCATGGACTGTAAATAGACTTTGAATCTGGCTGTTGGAGTGTTTTAACTTTGTATCTGGATTGGTTTTGAATCCTGAAAACTCACCACACTTTTGTATGGAGGGGGGTTAGCCATGTTAGTCTGAAGTCAGGCAGGAGGTGGGTGGGGTGACACTACAGGGTCCATGCAGACGTTCGCCATACCCAATCTACAGTCATATGCAGCTTACTTTAATTTGCATGATTGTAAATTGGGAGCAGCTTGTACAGACATTTGTCAGTGCCAGGAACCTGATCTAAGTCAGGGTCGGGAGAGAGGCAGATGGGATGGAGGAGGGCTGGTGGGTCTGCGGGCCGGGGATGATTGGCAGGATTAAAGAAGGCAGGCAGGTCTGCAGATGGTGGGTGTTGGTGGGTCCTTGGGAGGAGTTGTCCATCCAGGAGTCAGGGGTTTGGGAATGCTAAAAATAGCCCAGTCAGGGATGGGAAAGGGTGCTGGAAGACCACAGCCTTGGGGCTGGGGTGAGTGGCTAGACTTTCCCGGCCCAGGAGCTGCATTCTCAATATGTGCTGTCATTTGGTAGACTGGGCTAACGCATTCCCAGTCCAAATTTCCTCACATCTTCAGGTGAACTAATTTAGACAAGGATGACTATTTTTGTCCCATCTAACCTCCTTGAACATTTGGCACTTAGATCAACCTAACTGTAGTTAGGTCAAAGTGTAGCATCTGCAGGTACCTACAGAGACTAGCTGGTTCAAAGAAGCAAAAACTTTCACAATCAACCGCCTACTTTGCCAGATGCTAGGAATGAACATTTGCAGGATGCTGAGGAACTGTGCAGTAGTCCTTTTTTCTGGAAATCTAACTTCTTGATGCTTCTATTTCAGGCTGCATGTCCCAGCAAATATCTGTGCTCTACTTTGACCTGAAGTACTGAATAAATTAGACATCATTCTAGTGCACCTCAACAAGCAAAGAGGTACCTTTTGATTGCTAAAAGATGAATCAGTAAAGTATCTTATAAAGCATTACAGATTCTTAAACGTTTTCCATCTAGATTCTCATGTTTTAAAACTTATTTTTCTTAAAATGCTTTAATAAAACAGTAACCCACTCTGTCCCCAGCTCTTCCTAATCATTTTTCTTACATACCCAAGTTGGACATTGTTTAATGATCATACAGTATATCACTTGCCCATTGATCCAGATATATATTTCAGGGAGATTTCTTTGTCAATGTTTTCTGATAGGTAAGAACTGAGAATTACCCAGTTCAAAGAGAGAGATCTGAACAAGAACTGAAATCATGATTACAAAATAAATTGTCAGCATCTCAAGTGGAATTTCAACAGGTCCATAGATTTTCAAGGGGAGAAGGATTATGCTGCTAAACTAATCTGACCACCTGCAAAGTTGAAACAAAGTATTTAGAAAATTCTTACCTTTTAACATTCACATAGATTGTGAGTCACTGAGATTGCTGAATATCTGCACCTTCATGGACTAAATGAATGCAGTAGCAGCAGCAGAAGACCTGTGGTGGCTTACCAGTTCTAAAGAGAAGCCTTCCTCTCTGTGTTTCAATAGGTGATTGGGGTGACAACTCTCTCCCCCTCCCTCCCCCCACCCTTTTTCTCTCTTTCTGTAAAGGGAATTTAACCAGTGAATGTTGCTTTCCACTTACAATCTGACTTAGAAGTTCTGGCTCCCTCTACTGATATAAAAATGTATTAATTCTACAACAAACAGAAGCTTCAGATAAAGGTATTATTAAACTACTTGAAACATGATATGTTGATGCTATAGGCTTCTGTGATGCAAGTGGCAAGTAGACAAAAAGAACAAAAGGAACAGAAATTAAGGTATAGGACTTTACTCCGCATTCTTTCTAGAGGCAAAATTCCCATTGATTTCAATAGGAGCTTTGCCTACTGGGCACAATTGGGTCCTTGTTTTACCAGACATTTTCTGATTTCATCATACACTGCTGAATGGCTGTGCTTCTATATTACAGAGAAGCTCAGGGAACAAAGCCTCTATTATTTGGTATGTAAAGAGGGAAGAGGTACGGTGATGTTTGGATAAAGTACACAGAGGCATGAGGGCACTGAGACATTGCAAATATGGGAGAAAATTTTCCAAAGCACCAAGGGCACCTATACAGAAGCACAGAAACTGCTCTGACATGCTGTAATTACAGTGCATTGGAGCAGACTGCAGTGTGGCAATTACTGCACTTCAGCAGGCTCCTGTGTCTTGTGTATCAATGCTCCTGTGCTTAAAAATGGCAGCAGGGTGCTTGAACTAAAGCTCGTTGAACAAGCTTTAGTTCAAGCATCCCTGCCGCCATTTTTAAGTGCAGGGACACTGATACGTGAGACGCAGCAGTGTTTTAATTAAAGAGGCTCTTGAAGCCGCTCTCTGCTCCCCACCTGTGGATCACATAAAAGTGCCCCGAATGCCTCAGTGTTTCCCAGAAATACCTAATAGAGTGAGTTACAGAGTGTTTAATGTTTTCCACTGACCAAAAAACAGTGCCAGGATTAGTACCAGACCCAGGACAGCCTCATTTGGGCCTTCCATATACAGGCATTATAGCCACCAATGGATATTCTGCTACTCTGCTTTGTCTTCAGCTACTAACCTAACAATCGCCATAAATACATGTTACAGCACCTGCACAGAAGTAGTGAATATGTGCTGTCGCTGATAGCACAGGAGGAACCTTGGGATTTTGGCACAAAACCCACAACAGAACAAAAGCAGCATAAGCCTTTGTCACTTTCATAGCTTCATAGATTGCAAGGCTGGAAGGAACCTTGGAAGATCATTGAGTCCAGCCCCCTGCACCAAGCAAGAAAGACAACTGGGGTCAAGCGACCCCAGCAAGGTGACCATCCAGTCTCCTCTAGTGAGGTATAACTGTGGAAGTAGTTACTAAGTTGCAAGTTCTTAGCCATGAGTGTGAG